TTTGGATTATGATAGAGTTCATTTATAGCTTTTGGATCCGGATCCAGATCGGAACATTTTAGATCCAATTGGATCTGCTTCTGGGTCCAAATTTGATGTATATTTTTTTGATCAGGATCTTGATCTGGGTGAATGCGGAGCCTATCCGAAAATTTCTCTGCCCTAGTTCTGTCTCACCATCTCTCTAATATCTTTACTAGGGTCCAAGGAAAGTTGAGGTTGCGAGAATTTTCGGATGCACCCGTTTTCAGAGGTAGATGTTTGGAAAGTATCCAGAACACAAGATCCACTACTTGAAAATTGCCACCCTCTGCCCCAAAGAAAAACCCAAGTTCACAACCACTCTGCAAAATACAAGAACCCATTGCTTGAAATTACGGTCCAGCGGCAAAGAAGAATCCACGATACTCCAAAGAAGGAAGGATCATGTCGATGCTCCATCTTTCCCTCTGAATTTTCGTGAGATTGAGGCCCTCTTCCATCTGACACGCATCGTCAATTTCAAGCACAATTTGAAGTTCCGTAATAGAAACCCTGACTTGCTCCATGCATTATACTGTCTGTCGGTCCACATTGTATTCTAGATGTCGATGTCCTCCATCTGTTCTTAATGCAGGCGAATACTCCCCCGCCATGGTTAGCTCATGTAGAGGAATTCATATCCACAATTCATGATTGAAACGAACTGAGTACTTCTTGCATTACATGAACAGTACTAAATTCAATTGTGTTTATCACTAGATTCTTCAGTTTTGTCATCTATGTTTGCATTTGTAATGTGAAGTCGATTTTCCTATTTATTATTTAAGTTCAATCTTAGTGAAATTCCTTAATTATTTGAGTTGTGTGTTTGATTCGCATTGCTCCTTCCACCTCACTTTTCCACTGTTTTTCTGTTGATCGATTTCAACTTTTCGTGATTAAAATCTCAAATTCAATCTGCTTTTACCTGAACTCCTCCGTCCTAGATTTTGAAGGGAGTTATCGAAAAGCATCTTGTAATGCACAGTGGGCTACGTTGGTACTCGACCACCCATTTTCCAATGTGGTTGGCTGAGATTAAGCTGGCTGTCTCCACTCTAAATTTACTGGTTTCCACATGAGCAAATCACCTCAATTATCTGTTCTTGAGAACGGATGGTTAAGGATGAAGCTGCATACAATTCTTAGTTTGAGTGCGAGGATACACATTCCTTTAGCAGCATAGTGTACATTTACTCTTGCAGAGAGTATTACGGAAGCAGCATACTGTACATTTACTCCCGTGGAGAGTATTACAGAGGATTTCTTCAAAAAGAAATCTTGGTATCCACCATCCCCCATAATCACTAGAAGGTTGTTTTCAACAAAAAATAAATAAAAAGAAAGTTTGTTTTCTAAGTTCTTATCAATTGGATTTGGCCGTCCGAATTTTCCAAGGTTTGTTGAATCATAATTTTTTCAGGCATATAGTAGAGTACATGTAAAACATTTTCTTTTTTTAAAGTGGTCACAAGGTTATATGTTTCAAATGGTTTTTTTATTTTTTGGGAATGTTAAAGTTACATCACCAAAATTTAGGAAAAGTGCTCCTACTTGGGTAAAGGGAGTTTGCACGTAGGGCAATGACCCAGTCGCTCTACCCCTAAAAAAAAGTAGGGCCTGGGACACGGACTGTGGCTTGATTTCCGGCGATGGCCAATGCCACCTTGGTTTAAACCAAACACATCTAAATAAAGTTAAAAAGTAGTGAAAAATCGATTTTGAAAAAAAATTAATTTGTAACTCGGGTTATTTTTAAAATAATTGAAAAAAAAATATATATATATATATATATATATATAAATAAGTATTCATAATCGAATCACTTTCCAATTTTTACCAAAATGATAGAAAGCAAAAAAAACAAATTACAAATAAGTTTTTTATTTTTTTTATTTTTATAAATTTTTTGAACTCCTTTTAATATCCCCAGCTTGACGACCAAACTCATGATACACAAGCCCGAGTTACTAAGGCGAGTCAGAGGATGTTCTGAAGAATCTGAACCTCGAGGAGCTCTGAATCCAAGGTGAACAGTTCAACAATGTGGTGATGAGAGAGAATGCATGTTTTACAAAGCATTGACACTGATGTGTATCACCAGCAAAAAGGCATTTACTCACCAATGGGTGGCCCTAAATGTAACAGAGAAAAACCACCAGAGGACCAAGGAAAAGAAATCCCGTTGTTTGACATGGGCTATCAGACCTGAAAACATGGATTAGGCATTTTAACACAAATTCATCAATGTGTTATGGAAAGATAAAAATGGGTGGAGATGAAATTGGAATCAGAGGTGAGAATTCTTCTGTGAATCCATTCACCGAGCCCATCGATAAGCTTCGGTTCTCAGTCAAGTTGTGTATCTGCTCCTTCAAAACAGAGGGAAAACAATGGAGGGATCAGTGGCCATGGTTTCAAGGAAGGTCACAGGGGGAGATGTCAATTGAAAGTTCATGGCGGAGGATTTGTGGTACAGGGGTGTTTCTTGATAAAGTTTCAGTCCCTCTCTCCCTGTATCTAGACTAATTATTTTGGAATTTTATGTAGTTTTTATTTTTTTTTAAGAGTAATGATCTTAGACCCTCTCACACCCATGTGTGTAAGATTTCAAAAAGACCATCGTTAAATTTAACACAGAACTCTAAAAAAGTCAAGCCCTACACCCATGTGATAATTTTTTTTAAATATCTGTGCCAAATTTAATGGTGATCATTTAAGGTACTACACATATGAGTGTGGAAAAGTCTCATACGATCATTACTCTTTTTTTAAATATTTGGTTGAACCACCAAAACCGGCCAAAATCATTAATCGTCAAATTGGATGGTTTGGGGTGTGTGACAAAGAAATGTTTTTTAAATTTTGAGTGTACTTACAACCACCGAACTTAAAATTTATGAGATAAAAATAATTGTGACCTTGTTGTATTAAAAGTAAATATTCTCCTTACATGTTTTTCCTAAAACGTTCCTATCCCTCTTGCTAGCTATGGACTCTATGGAGGAGAGAGAGAGAGAGCGCAAAAGACTCACCCACTACTTGTGCTGGCATTCACTGTTTGCTTTTTGAATCCCATCTCTTTTCTTCTAGGGAAATTTGTCAAATTTCTAGGGAAATTTGTCTAGGCAAGTTTGCTGAAGTTTTCGGGTGTGGTTTCCAAGATGTTGCAACCTTAAACAATAAAATTAAGGTGCACCTTAGAGCTTTTGTTATGAGTTGAAATTTTGGTTCTCGAAATTTTTTAGGATAAAATTTCTTTTTATCTATAGTTATAAAATTTAAAATTTCAATAATGGTTCAAATTAATCATATCTATAAGCATATAAAAAATCTTATACCCTTACCTGTAGTTCTATTTTTATCAAGGGCAAAAAACCCCTTTCACACTAAATAACCCAAAAAAAAAGAAAAAGAATATAAAAAAACTCTATATTTAAAGTCAAACAATAACAAAAGGGATTGTATATAATGAAACCATTTACTTATTGGAAACATTTACATAGAGCTGAGGTTCTAAACAATCAAATTAGAGCCCACATCAAAAATTTCAGTAGAAGATATTGTTTTGATACTCAAATATCCTCAAATTGATCGTCTCGACATCAAGACGCATGAACATGAGAAACAAAATAGATTTCAAGTTTTAAAAATAGTACATCTTTTTATGCATTTTTGGGACATTAATTTTCAAGATATTTAAATTTTCATAGATCTGCTTTATCTCCACTATTTTTTAAGTTTTAAATTTTATAATTAAAGATGCAAATATATTTTAGGGCTATCACAAAGATTTTCAGTATTGAAATCACATTTCTCAACACTATTTGAAGGTGCGCTTTACTTTGATTGTTTAGAGCCTCAGCTCAATACAAACAGTGCCTTTTACTCATTGTACAAGAAGGTAACAATAAGGGCTTATAACTATCCATGTGAAATTTGATAACTTGAGTATGTCAAGAAGTTTGATAAAATTTCTTTTAAACTTTGTGCTTGGTGCGATGAAATAAATACCACCATCCTATTTCACATGGGAAGGTCAAGATTAATTATGACCTTGGTCTCATTGTATAGGTTTTCATAACAAAATCATACCACCAGGCACGCACCAAACAGCTGAAAAAAGCATTATGTGAAAAATATATTGATCCCACATCAGATAATTATCCCAAACCCTTAGAAAAAGCGTGCTCCCGCAAGAGCACCTTATATACAATATTCCCTCGAGTGACGTTAGATAACTAAGTCCACTATAGGATACCATCATAGAAAACTTTATATGATAACATCACAGGATTGCTCGCGGTTGGATTGAGGGTCTCAAGATTCCTACAGATTGTCACTTCAAATCTTAGCCGTCCATCCAGCTGTCAACGAGAAGCAGAGAGAATAAAAAGGAAAACCCGATTGCACGAGAACCAAAAGACACATGTTGGCCTCTGCACCAACATCTAAGCTTTTCTCTCTCTACTTTTTCTCTCTCATCAGACCAGACCAGACCACACCACACCATCGAAACCTTTTTATCTCACAAACTTTTCCCGATGCAACTCCACAATCTTTTCCTCTCACTACTCTTCTCTTACCTCCATGAAACACATACACACTTTCTCTCTCTTCCAACTTAGCCAACCCCACAAACATCTCCCCCCTCACTCTCTCTCTCTCTCTAACTCTCTTTCTCAACCAATCAAGCCAACCAAAACCCTACAAACATCTCTCTCTCTCTCACACACACACAACCCCACAAACATCTCTTCTCTCTCACACACACACCACTCACATACAACCCCCACAAACATCTCTCTCTCTCTCTCACATACACACACACCACTCACATACAACCCCACAAACATCTCTCTCTCTCTCACATACACACACACACCACACACAACCAACATCTCTCTCAATGAACTATAGGAAAAGCTAGACGAGAACCTTCCCTCTCTCCCTCTTATGAAAGTAGGTAGAGGAAGGTGTCAATAAGGCTTCTCACCAAAATAATTCCCAGGAGGATCATAATTACAGGTCATAAACATCCCTCTCCCCCCATCGCACACCACAACCGCACACCCCAGCCTCAGAGACTTTCTCCACACCATCTGGGTGTAGTGCCCGCACTCCTGACCGTATGCGCACGCGTTCGACCTCGGATTGTACCACCGGGCCTCGCCCACCCATGCCTGCACTGCGTCTGAGGGCGTCCATCCCGTGCCGCTGCCCCAGAATATGTTCTCGCCGTACGGCCCGTCGGAGTGCTCCAGGGCACAGTCGTCCCTGCGCTGAGCTGCATACCAGCGCGCGTAACGCGCAATGCGCTCGTCCCAGACGAGTTGCCGCTCGCCGACAGCGGCTCGTGCTGCGTTGTGTGGCACCAGGAACTGTGCTGCCAGGCTACTGGATCTGGCAGAAGCCGTGGCGGTGGCGGTGGCGGTGGCGGTGGCGGCGCCCACACAGAGGAAGAGCAGTATGTGGAGAAGGGTGGACATCTTTGTGCTATTGAGGTGTGTGATTTTGGTGGGGTGGGGTGGGGTGGTGCTTATATTGAGAGGATTGGTGGGCTTTTTTGTGGTCCCATTCCTTTGGAGGGCCCATGCCCTTGGTGGGCCCAATTCGGATGTTTTTGCATGTTCGATGATGATTGCCACGATGTGTGGGGGCTTAAAATAATGGTGGGGTTTGTCTTCTTAAAAGGTTTTTTTTTATTTTTAATGTTAGACTTAATTTGGTAGGATTAAATATGGAAAATTATACGACAATTCTCTTTGTATGGTCACAATCATTTTTAGCCTTCCGATATAAAATCGGATGGTCGATGTGCTGATGACAATGTTCAAAGTTCAAAAAACATTTGATGGATGTAGTTTCTATACGGTCTAGGCTTCATGAAAACAAAGTAAAGCCTCACATCGAATTCTTGTCCGGAAAGCACTTGCAACATCGAAAACCTGACTCCAAAATCGATTTCCAACACATATTATGAAATTTGAAGCTAAAAAAATAATATAGATCTTGCGGATTCGTGAATATTTTTTTTTAGGGTTAAATGGATGGTCGAGATAATGGGCCATAATACGTACTATTTTTAGGGGTTGAAATCTTAATTTTTTTCACAACCATAATGACCAAAGCCGAGATGATATGTTTGAAGATTTTACAACCCGAAACCTGCCATTTTAGGTTAGTTTTTAGGTGAGGCTTTACTTATTTTGATAAGGTTGCAGCCCGTCATAACATTTTCCGTTTTAAGATTTGTGATACTCTTAATCCCTTGATTTCACATCTAACGGCCATAAATAACTCTGACATACAATTCTTTAATTAAAGAATTGTGGGGATCTACCTAAGGTCTCTTGGTTGGTGAGGATCTAGTCTTGTATGATTAAAGTTGTTGTGGGGACTTTCCTCATATAATTTTTAATGTTTTAGCTCTAATTTGTTAAAGTTAAATTCTTTACAAGTTTTTCCATATTTTGTTAGATGGTGGTGCCAACTAAATTTAAGGGTTTCATATTGATAAAAATAAAAAAAAATAAAAAAATTAGGGGTTTCTAGATGGTTTAGATTTGTCCTTGTAAGATTACTTTATTTTGGGGGGTTTTGCTAATGGTTGTATAGTGGGTAGGTATTAAGAAGCTATTGTAGATAGCATGGATTTGGCAGTCGGGGCCTGAACTTTAGGGAGAAAATGAAGACTTTAGGGTTTGTTTGGCTATTTAAAGTCTCGTGAGCGGACTTGGAGGCCTTTTAAGGGCATATCCCTTTCAACACTAAAGATTCCTCCATAGTAGGTGGGGTGTAGGAATGGGGCCTAGGTTTAGGAAGTCAATAAGAATGGGTCTAGTGGCCGGAATCAGAGGAACTTTGGCTGGAATTAGAGGACATTTGGCCGGAATCAATGCCTTGATCCTGCCTGAATTAGTGGGAGGTGAGATTGGACTAAGTGGAAAGAGTTTCTCTTTTTTTTTTTTCTTGGTGGTTCCACTCTTTGAACTTCGGCTTTTGAAATTTTCTTCCGTCTCTTTTTAATTATGCTTTTTTTACACCCTTTCTTCCCTAAAATTTGAAATCTCCAAATATTGTGACTTTCATTTTAGAGGACCTATGTCACAAACCAGGGGATGAGAACTCGGTCGGTTTGACTCGGGCATGGGAGATTGGTGTGTCTCGAAAACAAACCCGGTCGGTGTGGCTCGGATCTCGAAGATAGCTGAGTCTGGAACCAGACACATGGGGACCAGCCAAGTATGCTTGGTTCCCAATATTTCATTATTATATGTTTGGACTCGATTGAGACTTTGAGAGACTCTACTGAGTCTGCCAGATCTGATTCATGCTCGGTGTCCTGGCAAGTCTTGACCCGAGTTTTTTTTCCCATTGTTGCTAATTATGAAACGCCATAAAGGTTAGGAGTGATAAATTGTTATTGTTCTTTGAACTTTTTGTAGTTAGGGTTGAGTAGTGTTTGAAAACGTCCATATCATTGATCTGGAACCGGTTTTGAGATGGTATAGGTCTCGGCTCGGTCCCCCTAAACCCCAATTTTTTATTTTTGAACTTTTTTTTAGGCATATTTAATGTTTTTTCAAGTCCCTTTAAACCCCCACCCCATAAATCCCTATTTTAAATTTTATTTTATTTTATTTATTTTTAATATTTTTTAGATCATTGATTTGGACTAACTGATTTTATCTGGAATGACAATTCAAAGATCTAACTGAGGTCTTTGGATGAATGATTCCCTACAGTGATCTGGGTTTCAAAACACTCGGATTGAGAGTGCGATGGAGACAAATGGGGCACATAAACTAATTCTAATCCATTGCAACTGAGCTGGGGCACATAAACTAATTCTAATCCATTGCAACTGAACAAGGAGCAAGGGCTTGAAAGAAAAAGTTAAAAAATAAACCAATGTTTGTAGATTTGACTCGGGCCTTGGACTCAGCCCTGAGTGACTTGACGAGTCTAACTAGATTCAATGCACAAGGCCAAACCAGCCCTATAGAATTTTAAAAATAGAAATGTTAAAAATTAAAATAAAAGCTTTAAATGTCCAATAACACTAGAAAGTAACAAAAGGATTCCAAATAAGTTGAAAAGACATACAAAAAATATGGATTTGATAAAGAAAAAAGTTTATATAAGTGCAAGGCTCTAAACAATCAAATTCGCACCTCGAAAATTTCACTAGAAGAGGATGTTTTGATGCCTAAAAATCCTCAAATTGATCATCTCGACCTCAAGATGCATGGACAGGAGAAAAAAAATGGATTTCAAGTTTTTGGAAATAGTGGTTTTGTAATGCATTTCTAGACGTCAATTTTCAAGTTTTCATAGATCTGCTCGATGTACATTATTTTTGAAGCTTTAAATTTTATAATTAGATATTAAAATATACTTTTAAGGCTATCACAAAGATTTCATTATTGAAACCACATTTCTTGACACTATTTGAGGGTGCGCTTTTCTTTGATTGTTTAGAGCCTCGGCCTTATAAAAACTACACTCTTTACCTAAAGGATTGTATAATATGAGACCATTTATTTTTTGTACAAGGAGACTACAATTACTTATAACCATATAGTGTAAAATCTGATAGCTTGGGTAGGTCACAAAATTCGAAAAAAATAAAATATTCTAAATTTTGTGCTTGGTCAATGGAACAAGATTAATCGTGACCTTCCATGTGTCAGATATAAATCATTCAGATTTTTTTTAAAAAGAAGAGAAAAATACAAAAATATAGCATTCAACATAAAATAATCACAAAATCAATGTAAAAATCCAAATTGCATGTGTAATTTTATATATCAACCCTACAAATTTATAATTTTATTATTTTTTTTAATATACCAGAGTTATACTACTCGACTCGGCCAGGGTCAGACGACAATGGTGAGTAGTTAAACACTGAAGTAAATTGTTGTAAATTGTTTTGTGATATTGCTTCGTCCTAACTATTGATTTTTGGAAATCCTTTTATTTATTTATGGATAAATAACTATTTATATTTCTTTCTTCCCTCTCTATGAGATTGGCGGATGAGGAAATTTATTTTTGGAACTCCTATCATTTATATATGGATAAATAACGATTTATAAAGACCAGAGGGCTGAAACGGCTTGGAAAGCTTCTGATGGGGACGAAAATTGCGAAAGTTTGGACACAAGTGAGTCGAGACACATGCTCTATCCAGAGACATGTGAGCTCTGCGGATAGCTTAGGTGTGGTGGCTGCACAAAGGGGTAGCAATGGACCTAGACCCGACCCGGACCCAACGTCTGCACCGACATGCGTACGGATATGGGACCAAAAATTGGACCCGGTTGGTTAAGTCTGGGTCCATGTGGACCTAACCTGGTCCCGACCTGAATAGGGTAATTATATAAACAATATTTAATATGTAATATTTTAATAATAATTAATTAATATTTTAATAAATATAAATATATGTTTTAATTATAATATTTAAATAATATATGTATATATTTACCATAATATTTAAATATTATATATATATTAATTTTTTTTTTTTTTGGTCGGTTCCAGGTTCGGATCCAATAACTTTGGGTCTGGGTCTGGCCGGACCCGAGCCGTTGCTACCCCTGCCAGCACACATTGGATCGAAAGTCTATGTGCTTTGGTTTACTTTGCCTATTATGGTCCAAGAAAGAAGGTTTAGTGGTCCAACCCAAGTTTCCACTGGATTTTATGAGGTTTTAGGTTGAAAAGGTGTGTTTAAGGACGTTTCTATTGTAAATTATGAAATGCTTGTCTGGGCTCTGGGGAAGCAATTCTGGGGTTTATAACCTAGGGTTCAGATTTTTAGGCACTTAGAAGTCCCTTAGCCGAGTTGGGATGTCCAAAAAACATTAATAACAGATGGAGTGCTAAATCTAGATTTTGTAAGGTCAAAGGAAAACTTGATCTATCCTTTGGAAAAAGGACGAGAATGGGTTTAGAGTCAATTAAATAACCATCAACTATAGGAACCCAACCTAGCCATCTCTAACATCAAAATTATCAGTTCAATGCGGTGCATACACTAAGTGAAGTGAAGTTTCAAATCGAAAGATTACCTCTCATGGTATGCAAATAACATACGGATGCATAACATTTCTTGCATTAATTTCAAATAAGTGGAGGAAATTGTTGTGTTTTTTACTTTGAAAAACCACTGTTGTTTCAGAATAATATCCTCCAAAACTATAATTTTTTTTTCTAGAGGGATGGAATTCCTCGAGCTTGATTTAGTAATTAGAAGCCATCCCTCACATTATGTCCCAGATTCAACTTATTCTTCATACTCAACCAACAATTTAGTATTACAGTAAAGTGAGAACCATCCAATGACACAATTAATTATGATCACCATACCGAAAGGGTAATTATGCATATCCATCGTCTTTTGCAAGAAGAGCATTTACTTTAATCCAATTAGGATTTTTTCAAATTGTCTTCAAACGCATGATAAACGGCACTCGTACAGCATCGTTGGGTAAGCTGTATTTATTACACCTAGATGAGAGATAAAGAAACAGTAGTGAAAGGGCAGAATCTAGTACAAGTGTTGGATAAGTTAAATAATTACACTGAGGAGAGAACTGTTTTACCAAATTGTTTTCCTCATTAGAAGGGTAGAAGAGATGAACTTATTTAGCTCAGTAAATTCCTTTCCAGCTCTTGCACTAGACTAATCAGAAGCTTGGAAATACAAAAACTAAAACACAAAAATCCTAAATTAGGATTTTCAACGAATAAATGCAAGATATAACTCATGGGGTAGGATAGTCTTCTGCAGCTGTGCTTCATGCTCAATTCAAACTACAGGCTCAGAATCCCTCAGAAAGAAGTGCTGTATTAGTAACAAAAGTGAAATATCATGTACATTTTAAGATCATATCAATAAAATATCCCTAGACAAAATAATAAAATGGTCATTCAATTTTTGTATGTATCATCCTCTTAATTAAGCCAGAAAGCACATTATACGTAACATTAAGCATTAAAGCATGGGCATGCCACAGAACATTATAAAAAAGAAAAAATGTAAATGGCACACAGATAACTTTTCAAGTGTTAAAATCAATGTAGTATTACTTCATAGAAGAAGAGAAAAAAGTTCATGTGCTATGATCACATAGTTTTCTCATAGAAGTTAAACAGGGTTTGGAAATGAAGTCTATCGCAACGATCAAGTTTGGAAACAGAAGCCTATTTAAAGTGTGAAGTTTCTCAGATATAGTGGAGAGATATACCATAGCCCAGAATAGAAGTAAAATAAAAAAAAACAAACATTGCAAGAGAAATGAACCACGGTTTCGAGCTAATGGACAGAAATGTCAAAAGAATTTGAATTAATCATAAATACTCATCCAGCAAGCATGTGGGCCGCATTTGGGGCCTCAGATATGCTAATTCAATCTCTGACATCATCAATGCATGTATAAAAGAAATTTAACACTTTGAAAATCCATGAAGCCTCACCATGGCAACCTGAAACATTCAGTCTACAACATAATAACGAGGAGGAAAATTCCATTTGCATTATATTATGCAGACATACCTCTATGAGCATCGATTCTAGGGCCTCAATTATACCCCCCCTCTTTGCAAGTTGAAGTCATTAGATAAGTCTTCACAGGTTGGATGAGAACATCAGCAACTGGGCGGCACGAAAAGAAAGGTGGGTCTTTCTTCGAGCAATTTTAAGAAATCTCAGGTTCAAGACACAGTGGATCATGGTTCAAATACAGGAATCTTACAGCTGATCATCACTGAGGTCTGAGAAGAGCAAAACCCAAAATAAAGCATTAGCATAAACATTCAAAAGATGAGCATAATGTGCATAAAACGTTGAAATGTATGGATCACCTACCCTACCAGCTTAAGATACAACAAAACCTGAAAATCGAGGCTTCTTGTGGGGTGGAACTGGGAAAAAGGTTCAATAGATGCTGAAACTTTTTGACCAAAGTGTTTTCTGATTAATTTAACCACCCTCTGCAAATAAGGCATGGAATAATAAAAAAGTTAAGTGTACAAGTGTACCGAAAGCTTAGACTCAGAAGCTAGTCATAGATTCGATCAAAAAATAAGCAAACCTCAGCATCCGGAAATTCCCGAACAGAAACCGCTGCCATGTTTGGTAGATGGTACCACTTCTGATAAAACCCTTCAACAGTTTCAGGGGAAACTGTTCTGATCACTTTTTCCAGTCCAATTGGTAGGCAATCATCATACTGCATTTATCAGAAGGCAACTTCATAAGTAACACCGCTTTGAATTCAATCCCAAGAAAGTCCAGAATCATGAATTGTTTTATGATTGTCAGGTACTAGTCAATGAAAATTAGACAAGTCGTTATCAATGATACAGATGATTAAGAGCAACATAAATGGACAAAAACACAATCACATAACTGCACTAGCTCCATTAAGCATCCTTTATAATTTCTTTTTAAAAAAAACAAAAAAACAAAAATCCCATAGCATATGCTTGACTAACATATTTATTAAAACATATATTGTCAAGGATTCTGGTTGGCAAGTTGGTGGTCATCAGTAACTAAACAGCATTTGGAATACTGCAGAATTCTCGTCACACTTAATTTGTGGATAGAAGTTAATAAAACTTTTTACATGTCAACCTGGAGAACATATTAGGCAAGAAATTCTGTGGAGAAAGGCTCTTCTCGACGAAACCTGTTAAATGGATAGTTTGGAGCCAGTTAGGTTCTTCACTGGCTACAAGATATTCAAGAACCTACATCCATGATTTGATGCTCACCTTTCAGAGGGTATTAAGGAGCACATACACACAAAAGCTATCTTTATACCCAAATTTTTTTGAATTACCACCTTAGAGAGGAATTTACCTGATCATTTTCGTCAGCATATTCTGTATTCTGTGTCTGTACACATAATGAATGAAGTTTCTGACTTGCTAATGTAAGAGGCACATTTTGCTTATGTGTCTCATTACTGCACAATCGTTAAACTAATTAAAATATGAATGTTCAGGCTCACTAAATTCCAAATGCAAGAACCATGGCACAGTACGCCCAAATCCTTTTAATATAACTCCTAGTGGCCAAGGTGTGGACAAGTTCTTATTGAATCTTTCTTGGATACGTGCTAATGAAACCTGAAACATTTACCCGATGACAATTTACAAGCTTTATGGTAGTGAAATCAAACTCATAATTTAGAGGATATCAGAGCATATTTACACTTAAGTTGTGTTATTAACTAATATCTAAATGTTTATGTGAATAGTGTACCCGATCAGTCCCATTGCTATGTTGCATATTACCTGTCTAGGTCCAAACCGTTTCATAAACAAATAAAGATATTCTAGCATTGTCCCATCAGTGTAGTTTGTGTTTGCTTCCACAAAACGGCAACAAAATCTCCTTGCTCAAACTTCTATATACGATTATTTTTTTTGGTTATCAATAGAGCGGCCACCAGAGGCAGGCTGCAATGAACCTATTGGAGCACTGTCTAGTGGAGAGTTCAATATGGACTGAGCAAACCAGGATGGAATGCGATACAAGAACTTAGCAGAAGTCAGTAAGGCATGACAATGCCCTAATAGGGATTGACAAATATCAGTTACCTTCGATCCTTCCATGCCCTAAATGCGTCATACGGGCTGCCTCCATACTCTTCCAGAACAGCACCTCTTTCCCTTTCAATATCATTTGCAGACACTTGAACCTATAGAGGTCATGATGCAATCTAATTTACACAGAGAACAAATAAATCTACCATCAATAAAAATAATGAATGCAAAACTAAGGCCTATCTCAGAGCTAAATTTAGCCAAAACTGAAATAGCCTGAGATAGGAGCTTGAGTTTGTCATGAGGAACAATCAATTTATATATGGTTTCATCAGGTGACGGGGAAGTGTTTTTGAAAAGCACCAAAATCTGCTCTAATGCTCTCCAGAACTCGACAATATCATGATTTGCATACTTCATTGAGGCACTGAAAGTGAGGTGTTGAACTAGGTGAGCAACCCCACGTTCCTCTTCCTCTTCCAAAACTGAGCTGCCGAACAATGAAACAACATGTTACTTCACAAGAGTTACAACAGGAAATCAGATCTTTCAGAGACAACAGCAGCAGAAAATCTTTAGAGCAAAGTACTTGAAATGGTTGTGATATAAATTAGTAAAGACAATAAAACTTTTTTTTTTATATAAGCTAATGAACGAAAAGAGTTAGTTGTTGCATTGAGGTACTACAAATGAGATAAAACATATGTCTAAAAAAAAGCAGATCAACAATCATTGAGGCAGAAATCATGTCTCTCGCAAGTCATAAGATTTTAATCCCTGCTGCACCTTCTCTCTCCCTCTCTGTATAAAATCCTGACTCCTAAACATGGGGGAACATCTTGCCCTGGAAAATAAACCTTATTTATATGTATGTGGTACGACATGTAACATTAATTAAGGAAAACTAAATATCTTTTTGTGAAACTAAAATAGCCTAAGGAGTACGCCCTCTATAGAGATGAAAAACTCTAGAAGTGGATCATCATTAGAATTGACAGAGCTTATTGTGAGTTGAGATGTAATGTGGATTCATTACCAAGAACGAACTTAGAATTGTGTCATGCCTATGTAAACCACATGTGGACAATGGAACCCATCCATTAAAAAAAACATTGAGAAAATTAGCACCCTAAAACACTTTGGTTATGCGCATCCAGTGAATTATCTAAGTCTATATCATGTCCCTCTTTGATATACTTGTCGGGGTAGCGAATAAGCTGGAGGAATACAAATCACTTCAAGGTGTTTTGGGTGAGGCGTATAACTCATTGCACCAAACTGCTCCACTCAGCATAAGAGCAAATGCCATTTTTGTGATCTTACCCTAATGCCTGAAGGTTGTGATTACCGTATAAGCAGGACTGACATGTAGACATTGGACCGGCACCAGAAACCAAATTATGTGGGGATGGCATGTAAAGTCATGCCATCCATAACTTATATCTAGTTGGTAGATCGGGTATCTTTTGCATTATTCCGAAATTCTCAAAAATCGTAGTTATGCATTATTTGGACATCTCCCTCCCCATGGAGATTATGTTCTTTGGAAGTCTTGCAGTGGGCCATCTAGAAAACTCGGGCCTTGAATTCCAAAACATATGTTACATTCATCAAGAAGCGAAAGAAATGATGGGTCACCACATACTCACTATAGCTCTATTAGGTAGGTTTAGAGCCTATTCGTAGACATCTAATGGTGTAATTAGGTGATGCACCCTTCGGTCAAGCACCTCTTATGGTGTTCGAACTTCTCTCCTTCTCCTTCATCCAGGAGTTCCAGTTTATTCAAGGTGAGCTTCACTACTAGATGTAGAGCATTTGAAGGAGCAAAGCTGCGGAATTCATTGAGAAGATACTTACTTTGGAGTCAGGCAGAATGTTAATCTGTAATTTAATTATCTCGTGAACCTTACTCATGGAAGAGTTTCGAGGTACAAAGCACAAGATTTCTTGCAAGGCTAAGGGATGTTAGCCAAGAATATGCAGGTACCTGTCATGACATAGGCTTTGAGCGAGCCTTATTTCTTAAGGTGCATTCGAATTTCAGGAACACTGTAGCTAATGGCATAGGAGTCACAGTTAAAGCAAGTGAATAGGTAACAACATTGCCCTCCCAAAGTCCAGCTAGCTTCCAAGAATCTATGAAAAACAAGAAACCCAAGGGAATTCTGGAAAGAGAGAAATTTGATGTTCGGGGTGAGAAATGAGACTTTTAGGCTGTGAATTGTGTAATTTTTTAAAAGTAAAACCATAAAGAAAACTATGGGAAAGGTGGGTCTGATTTTGGATTTGTTTTATTGCACACTCCTCTAGGGTGAGAATTTTCTATCCACAACATGTAAACTAGCTATCATCACAATTGTGCAATATCAATTCTACATATGGGGCATTTTCTGATTTGAGTTAGAATAAACTATTAGAAGCTTCAAGTCCATGTATGACCGGAATAGGTTTGAACCTATGGGTCCCATGAAACTGCATTATGTGCCAGTTTCCAACATTCCATACCCCAAAAATGTTGTAGTCAATGGCATTTACATGCATGAATTCTATGCATTGACAACCAATTCTCCAAAGAATCATATAAGTGGTAGCTTAATGCCATTGTGGACAACTGCATAGAAGATCTAAAGACAAGCTTCCACATTTCCAAACACACCATGAGATGCATCAACTGGGAAACAGAAGATATGTGGTATATCATTTGTCCATTGACACTCCTAGTTAGCATCTGCATGGGCCAGATCCCGAAGACCTTGAAAATGACTAAAAAACCACCACTCACCATTAATGCAGTAAGTTTTAGGGGAAAGAATAAGATAACAGATTGAGATAATGTATGATTACACATTTTCCTGGCAGATGCTTCACTAAATATTGGGTCAAAATGCAGTTCTTACCACCCCACCAACTAAAACTTGCAGCTCAGATTTTTGTTCAATTTGAATTCTCATATAATTCCACCCAACATTTTTTTGATGAAATTAAGCGAACACTTGGGCGGGGGGAGTTTGGAATCATTTTTTCTTTAGTATATTAAGTAAGAAGTGAGTCACATGTTTCTGTTCCCACAGAAAAGGGAAACTGCTAATACAAAAGCAACAAACAAGAATGAACTGAAAAGCAAAGACTTGGCCAAATATTGGACCAAATGTTCATCATCTACTCTCAGATTTTTGTGCATTCTATTTCTACACAGTCGCATAGATCTATTAATCAAAGAAAAAACCCAATAAAGTTCAATGGTATCAGTATCAGGGAAATAGACACATCCAGTTGGGAAGCAATGCCCTTCCCTTTTATGTGTGAATCAAAGGAAAAAAAAATTGAAAATGGGCAATTTGCTAGGTGTCAATAAAAAAAAAAATCACAAATTACAAAAAGTGAAAGAAAAATTCCACTAAACACAATCACAAAACAAAATTTAATGTGGAAAACCTTTCAATATGAAGGGAAAAACCATAGGGTAAATCCGAGAGATGAATCCACTAAAAACAAATAAGAGTTACAATATAATTTCTTTTCAAGTTTTTGCCCAAAACTTGAGGCTTACAATCAAATGAGAGAACAACAATAACTTGGAGAAGATACAAACTTACCTCACAAGCACCAATAAAATCATCTCTTTCCTACCTCAAAAAAAGCCTCACAGATGGTCTTCCAATGGCATGGAGAAACAACCGGCGTGCACAACACCTATTGCGGTTTTCCAGCTAAGTATTGAGCGTGAGAGATAGCAAAAAATGGCCTCTGGACGGCTTAAAAATGGTAATGAAAACCTTGCTACAAACCTGCACTTTCTTCTCTCCAAGAGCATTCAAAGAACCCTATCTTTGCTTGCAAATGGTATCTCTAAAAAAACCCCTTTTGTTTTGTCTTTTCAAACACCTTCTATGCTCTCTCTCTCTCTCTCTCTC